TCAAAAAAAAAAAAAATTAAAATCCGGCCCGGACTGGGCCCGAACCGGCCGGGCCGGTTCACCAAAACCTGGGCCCAGGCCCGAACCGCCCAGCAGCCGGGCCGGGCCGAACCGAACCGGTGGACCCACCGGGCCCCGGGCCGGGCCGGGCCAAACAGTAACCGGGCCGGGCCGCCCGGCCCGAGTCCAGCACTAACTCAGCCCCAGATGGCAAATTTACCATGTCTGTGGTCAAGGATGCACTGTTCAATGAGGAGGCAAGAAGGAAAGACATGAGCACAGATGAGACTCATGCCCTTGTGACAGAGAATAGAGGAAGATCACAAGGAAAACAACAAAGAAACAGTAGAGGGAAATGGCAAAGCAGGGGCAAAAGTCGGGGGAGATCATCAGATGGTCGAAAACCTTTTTATACCTGCCACCATTGCGGTATAGAGGGTCACATGAAAAAGAATTGCTACAAATTGCTAGAGGAGCGAGGCAAGAGCAATTCTCAAGCGAAGAGCAAAGGTGGTGAAGCGCTCATCACAATCTCAGGTGATGTGGCGTATTGTACTATCAATGATGAAACATGCCTTCACGTCTCAAGAGAGGACACTGAATGGGTGGTAGATACTGCAGCATCCTACCATGTTACTCCCCACAGGTACTACTTCACAACTTACAAAGCTGGAGACTTTGGAGCAGTGAAGATGGGCAATTCCAGTTCATCTGAAATAGCTGGAATTGGTGATGTACAAATAAAGACGAGTTCTGGGAGCACAATCACTTTGAAGGATGTCAGACATGTTCCAGACCTTCGTCTCAATCTCCTGTCAGTGGTATGTCTTGACGAACAGGGGTATGAAAACCACTTTAACAGGGGCACCTGGAAAATGTCAAAGGGCGTTTTGACAATCGCTCGAGGACATGTTTGTGGCACATTGTACAAAACCCATTTGAGGATGTAACACTTGAGATTTAATATAAACGGATTAATAGTACTACTCATACCAACAAGATGCATCTCCTTTTAAGGGAGCTCATCACCAAGAACTCCAAAGTTAAGCGTGCTAGCACGGGAGTAGTCCTGGGATGGGTGACCCCCTGGGAAGTTTCTCAGGGCGCGCACGAGTGAGGACAAAGTGCGCGGAAAAGGCTAGTGGCGGTTTGTGAGGACAGTACTAGAGGTCTGTAGTAACTGCCTTGGGTCCTACGGGGCCGGGGTGTTACAGGTGGTATCAGAGCAACCCTGCGACAGTGTGCTGATCCGTTGGATATCGGGCGGGCACTTAGCGGGGCAAGATTCTGGGATGATTGAGATTGGTTTAAGGGCGCAACGAGGACGTTGCGATCCTAAGTGGGGGTGATTGTAACACTTGAGATTTAATATAAACGGATTAATAGTACTACTCATACCAACAAGATGCATCTCCTTTTAAGGGAGCTCATCACCAAGAACTCCAAAGTTAAGCGTGCTAGCACGGGAGTAGTCCTGGGATGGGTGACCCCCTGGGAAGTTTCTCAGGGCGCGCACGAGTGAGGACAAAGTGCGCGGAAAAGGCTAGTGGCGGTTTGTGAGGACAGTACTAGAGGTCTGTAGTAACTGCCTTGGGTCCTACGGGGCCGGGGTGTTACAGAGGATTTGTACGGATAGCCTCAACATTGCTGAGGAGACTTCTCAGAATCTGTGGCACCTGAGACTCGGCCACATCGGTGAGAAAGGGCTGACTACCTTGATCAAGAAGAACCTTATCAACATCGACAAGAATGCTGCACTGGGTCCTTGCAGTCATTGTCTGTTTGGTAAGCATCATAGAGTATCATTTAGTTCTACTTCAGCTAAAAGATCAGAGTTGTTAAGTTTGGTACACTCCGACGTCTGTGGTCCTTTCGAGGTGGAATCAATCGGTGGAAGCAGATATTTTCTGACTTTTATTGATGATACTTCTCGGAAAGTGTGGGTGTATTTCCTGATTACGAAAGATCAGGTATTTGAGTGCTTCAAGACATTTCACGTCTTGGTGGAACGTGAAACGGGAAAGAAGCTGAAATGTCTCCGATCTGATAATGGAGGCGAGTATACTTCTAAGGCGTTCGATGCATATTGTAGAGAATATGGCATTCGACATGAGAAGACAGTACCACGCACCCCTCAGCACAACGGCGTTGCTGAAAGAATGAACCGGACTATCATGGAGCGTGTCCGGAGCATGCTGAATATGGCTAAGCTTCCGACGTCATTCTGGGCAGAAGCAGTCAACACCGCATGCTACCTTATCAACCGATCACCTTCGGTACCACTGAACTTTGAAGTTCCAGAGAGGTTATGGACAGGTAAGGATCCTACATACTCACATCTTAGAGTATTTGGCTGTTCATCATATGCACATGTATCCAAAGAGCTCAGGTAGAAGCTCGATGCAAGAACTATCCCATGCATTTTCGTTGGCTATGGAAATGAAGAGTTTGGATACAGGCTATGGGATCCTAAGGAGAAAAAGGTGTTCAGAAGTAGGGATGTTGTGCTCCACGAAGATTTGACAATAGAAGACATTGAAAAACCCACAATGTCTCGGAAGTCAAATGAGGGTGTTCAAGTTTCAAATGAAGCACCAGAAGAGGACAAAGTGCATGAAGATAACTCAGAATCAGAAGAAGGCGAGGAGACAGAAGAGAGTGCAGAGCAAGGGGAGACACAATCCACCCCGCCAGACACAGATGATGGTAGCTCTTCTCAGATGGTTCCAACTGTTCGTAGATCTGAACGAGAGCATATACCATCAACAAGGTACACATCATCTGAATATCTTTTGTTAACTGAAGATGGAGAACCGGAGAGTTTTCAAGAAGCTATGTCTCACAAGGATAAAGAAAAATGGCTAATAGCAATGGGCAGGATGAGTTAGAATCTCTACAGAAAAATCAAACCTATGAGATCGTAGAACTTCTTAAAGGGAAGAAAGCTCTGAGGAACAAATGGGTGTTCAAGCTGAAGAAGGATGCAAATGGACAAGTGGTGAAACACAAAGCTCGGTTGGTTGTCAAAGGGTTCCAGCAGAAGAAAGGAATTGACTTTGATGAGATCTTTGCACCAGTTGTCAAGATGACCTCAATCCGAGTTATACTTGGCTTGGCAGCAAGTATGAACTTGGAGCTTGAACAGATGGATGTGAAGACAGCATTTCTTCACGGAGATTTGAAAGAAGAAATCTACATGCAGCAGCCGGAAGGTTTTGAGAACTCAAATGATAACTTTGTGTGTAAGTTATCTAAAAGTTTGTATGGCTTGAAGCAGGCACCAAGGCAGTGGAATAAGAAGTTTGACTCATGCATGAAGAGTCAAGGCTACAAGAAGACTACTGCAGATGAGTGTGTATACATCAAGAAACTTCCAGACGGTACCTTCATTGCTCTTCTACTATATGTAGACGACATGTTGATCGTTGGGAAAGATGCAGTGAAGATAAACCAACTGAAGAAAGAACTCTCTAAGTCTTTTGATATGAAAGACTTAGGACCGGCTCAACAGATTCTTGGGATGCAGATCACTCGAGATAGGAAGAATCGCAAGTTATGGCTATCTCAGGAGAAGTACATTGAACGAGTACTTGAGAGATTCAACATGAATGATGCCAAACCAGTAAGTGTTCCACTTGCGAATCACTTCAAGTTGAGCAAAAGAACATGCCCTACATCCAAGGAAGAGATCGGGGAGATGTCAGCAGTTCCATATTCTTCAGCAGTTGGGAGTTTGATGTACGCCATGGTATGCACAAGGCCAGACATCACACAGGCAGTGGGTACAATGAGTCGTTTTCTCTCTAACCCCGGGAAGGAGCATTGGGAGGCAGTCAAATGGATTCTCAGGTACTTGAAAGGTACCACGAAGTTATGTCTTTGTTACGGAGGAGCTGATCCAGTCTTGGAAGGCTACACAGATGCTGATATGGCCGGAGATACTGATAGTAGAAAGTCTACTTCAGGATATATTTACACTTTTGCAGGGGGGGGGGGGGGGGGGGCGTTTCTTGGCAATCAAGATTGCAGAAGTGTGTCGCTTTATCTACAACAGAAGCAGAATACATTGCTGCCGCTGAAGCAGGTAAGGAAATGTTGTGGCTAAAGCGCTTTCTCCAAGAACTTGGGATCCAGCAGAAAGAGTACAAGGTACATTTTGACAGTCAGAGTGCTTTAGACTTAAGCAAGAACTCCATGTACCATTCTCGTACAAAGCATATTGATGTTCGGTATCACTGGATACGAGAGACGATTGATCAACCAACTGTTGAGACTAGTGAAGATCAATACAAAGGAGAATCCATCAGACATGCTGACGAAGGTGGTGACACGGGATAAGCTAGAGCTGTGCAGAGACATAGTCGGGATGCTTGTTTTGAATATGTCTGGAAGGGGAGAATTGAAGAATTCAATTTCCAGGTCATATCCAAGTACAAGCAAATTGAAGAATCCAATTCATAGCTTCCATGAAGCTTCCTCCATGTGCAAGAATGACAAGGGGAGCTTCCTCAACCACCATTGAAGCTTCCTCATGTTCCATTGAAACTTCCTCCTAGCTTCAACACATCTTCCTCCCACCTTCATACTACCTTGTTTTGGTACTATAAATAGAGAGTTTGGAGAGTCTTTCTATCATCAAGCAATTTAGATCATAGATTAGAATACCACAACCAAGTTTGAGTTGTGAATATCCTTGAGAGATATGTGAGGTGTTTTGAGAGTTTTTAGTTAGAGCTTGTATGTCTCTTCTTTCTATTCTTGAAAGTAATAGAAGTGTTTTTCTCTCATATTAGCACGATCCTGTTATTCCCAACAGTAGGTATAACGAAGAAGATGAAGATATAGGAGCGGCAAACTATAGACCTAATACTAGTACTAAAAAAACGACGATGAAGGGGTGTCACCAGCACCGGCTCGCCCACCCCTGGTTCCGCCACTGGGAAAGGGCAACATAATTTAAGGATTTATGGTGAATTTAAATACTTGGTATCAGACAAAAATTTATAATAATGATGTTTATTTATTATATCTTACAAGTTGATGTACAACAGATTGTGCTAAAAAAGAAGGTACAAATAATTTTAGGTTTTATGGGAGGGGGCAGCTAAATACATTATATTTGGATGAATTATTATATTATATCATCTCCAAAATTGAAAGGACAAGATTGCCATTAACTATAGTGGCAAAAAACTCCAATCCGCAAATCCGCAATGGTTATACGCTTTTACCCATTTTCTCTAAGATGTGATTGGTTGCTTTAATAATCCCAGAGACGGAATGATCCTTGTGACGCATATCCATCATCCTGCTCTTCGTTGTCGAAATTGGTTTCGGGTAAAGTGGGCGGGGCATAATAGTCATTACCGAAATCATCCAATCCAGGAAAATACCCGTAATCCGTAAAGTCGTTATTAATCGGAGCGTCCCACGAGAAGGAAGAGAACTGCTGCAGAAATCCGTCGTCAAAGGGTGTTTGTGTCATTTCACCTTCCACGCCTTGGGCGGGCCAACCGGGACCCGGCTGAGGAGGTGAGTCAGCATGCATGGCGTGAGGTGGCGAAAGCGAAGTCGAATGATCCGAAACATTCCCACGGCTGGGACCCGACCCGGTATCCTGATGGGTCTCCGCGTTGGCGTAATTGATCGCGGCAACCTTAATTTCGTCGACCGACATTGAGCTGCCGCCGGCGATATCGGGCGGGTTGTCGGGGAAGTTGAAGTTCGCATTCCTCCCGCGGAGACAGAAAAGGGCGGCGTCGAACGCCCGCGCCGCCTTCACCGGCGAGTCGAAGGAGCCGAGCCAAATCCGGCGCCGGCTATTGGGTTGCCGAATCTCCGACACCCATTTCCCCCACTCCCTCCTCCTCACTCCCCTGAACGTAGCAGAAGACGAAGCGTCGTCGTTTGGAGCGTTCTCCATTTCGGAACTGTCGCTGGAACTGGCCTCCAGAATGTTTGGAAGATGGAATGTTTTGTTTGAATTTTGGAAGGTTTGGAATGGAGGGAGAATGGGGAATGGCGGCTGAATTTTTATACGTAACGCGAGGATAGTGAACTGTGAATAGTGGCGCGGTTCGTAAAGTCAATTAGGCCGTGTTTGGATGACGCGGTGGAACAAGGACGTGCAACGTGGACATGTCCGGCCCACACGCCACGCGCCTTTCAGATGTACTCCCCAACCGTAAAAATAAATGAACAACGGTCGTACAGGTGGAATAATGCTCTACGCCTGAATTAAACAATATCTTTGAAAATTTTAAAAGCTTTTACATGAACAGGTAAAATACGTTGAAAGTTCAACATGGGAATAATTGAATCAAGGTAAACACTCCCTACAACATACTTCCTCCGTTCTTAAATAAATGCAACGGTCAACATTTCACACTTGCCGAGACACAACTTTGACCATTAATATAAATGATTTTGTATTAGTAAAAAATTCAAAAAATTAGATTATGAAAATTTACAATGAGACAAGTTTAACAATATTTTTTCATAAAATAATATTATTACATTAATAAATAAAATGTAGTCAAAGTAGAACATGTGAATAGTGTAAAAGTCAAAGTGTTGCATTTATTTAAGAACGAAGGTAGTATTAAATCTGTTGAAAAAAATAATTAAGTACTTGAGACTATTTCGTACTCATTTCATCTTGTGGGCTTTGTCAAATTTTCCTTTTTAGTTGTACCAAAAAAATTTGTCACATTCCCAAAGAGGATGTCGCAGGTTACAGTCTCATCCCAATCAAGGATATTCGTGTAATTATAAGCAGATACGATAATAATACGTCTAAAAGAATGTTCCAAAAGAAAATTGTCACATTCCAATTAAAACAATTAACTTGTGATTCTGCTCATTTCTCTCCTTTGTACAAATTTAAAAAACGCAACTTTTACTTTACTTAGTTTTCTTACTTTAAGATTGGCAAAGACTATTGGGACAAAGATAATATTCGATTGATGTTTAAGCTCATTTTTATAATTTAATATTTGCTATTATTAACAACGCCCTTTACTCTTAAAAAAAACAACGCCCTTTATTACTTTAATCTATCTATTTTATTTCCCTATATATAAATTTGATATTCTTGTCAACATGATAAGAAGTCTAATCCTGAATCAAATATAATATTTTTGTTGTTTTATAGCGTTGTTATATGAATTACTCCAGAGTGTTCTTAAAGTATTTACGGTTGGGGAGTAAATACTTTAAGATACATACTAGCATTAATTAAGAATATAAATGATTTGTAATCTACTTGTTTGTGTATTAAGAAGTTAGAGTTGTGCAGATTTATTTACTTTGCTCTTCATATTTTGATTCAAGCGTTAGACATAAAATTCTTGTTTTTAATTTAGTTTTCACCGTAAACTATTTCATACTGATATTTATTAGTCTCTCCGTTACTTAAAATTCTGCCAACTTTTATTTTTTGATTATCTATTAATTTTGTCATTTTTCATTTTTGATAAAAATGTGTGGTTTCCCTGAATTCACTATCATTTGCACAGAATTCAATCAAGTTTTGTGGAATGAGAATAAAGGCTTATCTCTATAAGTCTTTTGATGATTGCGGGCTATGACATGAAGTGTTTGCACAAAAAGTAATGTAGTACGGAGTACTCCGTATTTCAGTTGTAAGACAGTCAACCTACGGCCCACCGAACTTACCAGGAGTCACATCACTTCTATTCCAGACTTATGTTAACAGGGTACCTTAACTTTAGAGAGTGACAATCTAAAGTACCGCGTGGCCTCAAATTTGACCATGTGAAAGTGGTTGAATGGTTGAATGCGTACAACCTAATTTGTTTTGCAAATTTCTTTTTTCGATTATCCCAAAATGAATTTCCACTTTTCATTTTCCATTTTAAATACAGATATATAACTAAAGTCACAACTTTACCCTACCTAACCTTTTAATCTTCCGCCCCACTCGAGTTCCACCCACCTTATCTTCGCAAATTATATCGTGCAACCGGCGCATCATGAGGATGGTGCGCCCGGTTGCAAAACGACGGAGTATTGAGGCCTGGTTCCTTGATTTTTTATCCTTTTGTTTTCAAAAAATGGTAATAACTTTTTTATTTTTGATCCGATTTCTATAAAATTTATATCAACATTTTTTATTTTTCATGATCTTTCAAATGAGACCAATATTGCTTATGTAATTTTAAGAAATTATCGAACTATTATATTAATGTGTATTGGATTATAAGGAAAACCAAACTAAATTTAATACAGAAAAATAATTGTAAATCACAAATTATCTTAAAATTGTGTATATAAAAAATTTATTGTATTAGGTATTTATACATGTGAGTTACATATTTTTATATGTGAAGTTACATATTTTTACACGTAAAGTTACATATTTATACACGCGAGTTACATATATATACACACGAGGTTCATTTGACTTGCCTGAACGCGAGTTACATATATTTACACGTAGAGTTACATATTTTTACACGTAAAGTTACATATTTATACACGCGAGTTACATATTTATACACACGAGTTGCATTTGACCTGTCTGAACGCGAGTTACATATTTTTTTAAAGTAAAGTTACATATTTTTACACGTAGAGTTACATATTTATACACACGAGTTGCATTTGGCATGACTGGACGTGAGTTACATATTTCTACACGTAAAATTACATATTTTACATAGGTTAAAATTACATAGGCAATATTGGTCTCATTTGAAAGATCATGAAAAATAAAAAATGTTGGTATAAATTTTATAAAAATCGGATCAAAAATAAAAAAGTTATTACCATTTTTAAAAAAAAGAGAAATAAAGAATAAAGATCCGGTGCTTGCCAAATATGCTGCTTGCCAAAAAACGTATGCCGGTATACGGTGCTCACCGTATACCGGTCATACGGTATAACAACTGCCTTATCTTATCACATCACCCATCACTTCCACTCACCTTTTCTTTGAGTTTTTCCCAAAGGAGGGTATTCTAATCTTATTTCCCAAATGAGGGTTGTTTTGTCCTTGTCGTCCGATTTCCGCCACATCACCTACTCCACATCATTCATCGTCATCAATCATTCCATGTCATCAGCCATATGGGTATTCTTTTAGAATATAAAAAAATCCGTAGCCCCGGGAATCGAACTCACGACCAAAATGATGCATTTGCATCTTGGAACCCATTAGGCTACATTGACTAGTTGGTACAATCACACCTTTACAAGTACTACCTCCGTCCCATTTTATGTGTCTTTGTTTGACTCGGCACAGTTATTAATGAAGTGGTTGAAAAAGTAAAAATTGTGGTTTAGATTTGAGTTTTTTGGGACAACCCAAAAAGGAAAATAGGACATGTAAAATGGGACGGAGGGAGTATTTAACATCTATGTATGCAACGTATTTTGATATATGCAATTCAAATATAATTTAAAATAACTCTACAGTACTTAAATAAAATGAGAAACAAAAATGACAACGGCTGGACTAATTCATCCCATATTTAATAAAAAATCTTAGATTACTAATGCGTAAACATGTGAAAATATCAATTCCATGACAAAAATTAAAAAAAAAAATCCAACACTGAAATACAATTTTTTTACAATCATAATATAGGTATTTTACAAGTCTGAGATGGATTTGAACCTATATTGACATTTTTTTTTATTTAGAGTAGATTTATTTTAAGTTATTCTTGCATAGCATATATCAAATTACGTTTTTGTTATAATTTTTAATTGAGTTTTAATTTTTTAATTGTATATCTCAAATTAATTATTTATCATATTCTTATTTTAATGTTATGTTATCGTATTCTTTAATTGTTTGAAGAATGAGTAATATATCTCTAAAGGAACGATTAATATATGAATTAAGTTGGTGATGTCGTGGGCTTAAATATATAGTATGTAGTATATGCCAAATAACTGTCAATATACTTGTAAAATACTTATATTATGATTGTAAAATAAAATTGTATTTCAGTGTTGGAATTTTTTTTATAATTTTTTTCTTGGAATTTATATTTTTACATATTTACGCATTAGTAATATAAGATTTTTTTTAAATATGGTATGAATTAGTCCGGCCGTTCTCATTTTTGTTTCTCATTTTATTTAATTAGTGTAGAGTTATTTTAAATTATATATGAATTGCATATATCAAAATATGTTGCATACATAGATGTTAAATTCTTGTAAAGGTGTCATTGTACCAATAAGTCAATGTAGCCTAGTGGGTTCCAAGATGCAAATCCATTATTTTGGTCGTGAGTTCGATTCCCGGGGGCTACGTATTTTATTATGTTTTAAAAGAATACCCATATGGCTGATGACATGGAATGATTGATGACGGTGAATGATGTGGAGTAGGTGATGTGGCGGAAATTGGATGACAAGGACAAAGCAACCCTCATTTGGGAAATATAAGTTTAAAAGTACCCAGGGCCGGTCCTGTCTACTTTCGGGCCTATGGGCGAGATAATATTTTGGGCTTCATTTAAGACAAATAATAGATTATATTTATTTAAAAATAATAATTATAATAAAATTATCTAATAAAGGTCATTAAATAGAAATAATTACATAAATATGACCAAAATAAAGATGATTTACAAAAATATGATTAGTTACTAGAGTAGTAATGAAATCATAGTAATTCATGTTCAAGTTTTGAACTTAAGTTACTACAACACCACGTTGTAGTAATGAATAGTCATATTTATGTTAATAAATTTTATTTTAGTAATATTCCTTTAAAAAACCCCATTAAATAAAAACGAAACTCGTTTTATTATTATTATTATTTAAATTACATATTTGGTGGAAAGTAACAACACAAGTATCACATAAAAAGAAAAACAATACTTAAAACGTTTGTTACAGAATTTTCAAGATTCAATTTCTCAACAAAAACAAAATTTTCCATCGATCCCTTCTAACTTAAATCTGTCTTTTCTAATCTTCTTTTCTTTCTCTCTTTATCCCAACCCGATTCACCAATTTATCAAGAATAATTTATTGATCACAGATGGATTATTTAAAGTCTTGAAAGAAGTTTTTTGGTCATCGACTGCCGTTTGGGTTTCTCGATTGATTGGCTTCAATTTTTAACAAACCGCTGAGGCACTCACCGAGTCACCGCTTTGCAACATTCTTTACTCTTGTTGATATTGGAATTTGGTAACAACTAAACAATTTGAATGGGCTTTGCGAATTGGGAATTTTGGACTTGGGAGGCCTAACATAACATGATAATTTTGTAATTAAAAGGATTACAAAACTTAGAGATCCGAAGAGAATTAAGAGAGGTGGGCCACTTTACATTTATTTTAAAAATTAAACCTTGAACCAATTAATTGAGCTTATTTTTTTTAAAAGAAGTCTACTTACACTACATAGTTTATTTTATTTTATTTTTGTAATTTTTTTTGTCTACTTACACTAAATACAAAGAAATATTTTTGGGCCTATTCCCCCCCCCCTAATTTCTTGGGCCTAATTTATTGGGCCTAGGGTGGTCGCCCCTGTTGCACACCCCCTAGGACCGCCCCTGAAAGTACCCTTAATTGGGGAATAAGATTGGATACTACCCTCTTTTGGTAAAAAAACTCCCTTTTCTTTCCATATTAGCAATTTCCCATATGAAGCACAACCACCTTTGTAAATGTAGTCTCACACCTTCTCCATGGCAAGATTATGTTCATCTTCCTTTTAAAGATAAAGATGGAGAAAAGAAGGGGGCTCCAGCTTAGGGGACAAATCAAAGAAGGGGGCTCCAGCTTAGGGGAAAAATCAACGTTAAATTAAAACTCCCTTACAGTCCTATTAGCTCTGGCTCCGCCTGAAATTCCTCAGATCCGACGCGTTTAGTTGACCAAGTTGCAGATGAGTCGCCGTTGCGCCGTCGCCCTCGAAGAACCTTACAGATGAGTCATTGCTGCCCTCATCGAACCAAATACTTGTGTCGCCGGTCGAACCATTGAAGCGGCAGACGGTGGACAATCGGTTGGAGTCTTGACGTATATGTCAAAAATGTTGGAGATGCTCTCGAACAGAGATCAGACGCTAACGATCGGTTTTCGGCAATTAACAATCCCTGTTTCACTTTTTTTCCTACTCGATATAAGCCATGTAGAAGAAGCACAGTAAGACATCCCGTACTGTCTGACAAAAGTTGTAATTGAACTGCTTTAAAAAAATCGTTTCGTTTTTCCAACTTAAAAAAAGTTGCTGACAAAAGTTTGTCCTCCAGTCCACACCGGGTGAGGAAGGGAAAAATGGGAAAGTAAATGCCAATTTCTATTCTTTCTTAATTCCCGTGCTGTTCAATTTTTGACCTCAATTCGGGACGGAGGAAGTATAAGACAAAGGGTCCTTTTCATAAAATAGTCTCAATGGACTTAAATGACTTTATTGACTAATTATGCTGATTTATCAAAAATTAAATTTAAAATATACAGAATATTTTATTAATAAAATGAAGAAGATATTATATATAAAAATAACTAAAAACGGTCCTGTACAATAACTCAAACCTTAGTTTTTATTATTATTACACATATAGCGCCCAAAATCACAAATTTCGAGGATATAATTCAGTGTTTTAATGTACAAGAACTTAATCGACTTTCGGTACACAGAATTAAGGAGAGCGTAATTGACAGTTTTCCCTTCTTACTTTTATTACTATAAGTCAATTTTTTGTAAAACTCGTTTTTTCGAATATGTGAAAAATAATATTGCCTCTGTTTCCCTCTAAATCAAACATTTGTATATAAAAATAAAATGCATTTGGTGTTTAATTTTCTTTGTTACTTCATACGAAATAATATTGCCTCTGTTTTCCTCTAAATCACTGAGGATGAACACCAATGCAGAAAATAATGTACTTCGTAGTAAAAATCGAGTGTTTGAGATTTTTTTGAGAGACAAGAGAAATAAAAACAACCATAAATCGATTGATTAATAAAGAAAGTGACAAATTTTTAAGACAATTAAAAAGGAAAGGTGACAAATTACAAGAGATGAAGCGAGTAAAATTCCGAACATATGAGTGAATCTTTAAGATTACATAAATAAGACTTACTCCCTCCGTCTCGTTGGAAGATTCCCATGAATAACTGACACGATATTTTAGGCAAGTTAAATAAAGTATTTTGATAAAAAAGAGATGAAAGATTTTTTTAGAAAAAGTAAACATATATGAGATTTTTACATGAATATTATCAAAAGTCATGAGAGTTACAAGAAAGTGACTTATAGCATGGATCACGTATGGGCATCATGGGATTAAGTTAGATCAAAAAGTCATATTTTTGTTAGTGGAGTTTAAAGTAGTTATATTTGTGTAATTCTTTCAATATATATTGTGATAGTAATTAAAGGGAAATAAGTTGAAGGGGGGAGAAATCGTGAGGTTTGATATGTAATGAGTAGGGAAAAATTGAGTAAATGTGTAACTAAAGTACATAAATTATTACCCAAACTAGAATGTGAACTCTTAAAAGGGACATTCGCATAAGCAGGGGTGGAGCCAAGGGGGGGGGGTCAGGGTGGTCAGCCGACCCCGGTGGAAATTTGAGAGTTTAGAACATTGAAATATCTTCGATTTGATATATTATGGTCCCCGTAACTCATTATGAGTAAAAACTTATGACCTCTGGAAAATCAGGACTATGTAAACGTAAAATCATTACAATTTGATGATTCATATTGATTATTTTCTTTCTTCTAAAAAAATTGATTATTTTCCCAAAATTTAAAAACAATGTATAATAAAGTAATAAACTCATTACGTACGTGACATGATTCAGAAACAGAGAAAAGACAATGTATCTTATAGCTACGAGCACCTATTTATCTAAACTACAAAGGAAACATTCAATTCGGATATTGTCTAAAAATGACCTACCATTTTCATTTGTAAATAGTTTTTCTACTCAGATATTTTCGACCCCCCCGAGCCGTTTTTCTGGCTCCGTCCTTGCACATAAGGGCGTGTTTGGCATTTAGCGGTTAGCGGTTAGCGGATAACGGATTATGTTATCGGGTTGTTAATAGCGAATTCAATCAACGGGTTTGACGAGCGGAATAAAATTGGCGGGTTTCAGAAGATGTTTGATAATTTAGCTGTTTGACCATAAAATTAATACAAAACGCCATTTCTCAAAACGCTAACCCAAATCTCTTCTATTTGCAGCATTTTCATTTCAACGGTTCCGTCCTAAAATGCTAGTGCCGAACCGCTATTTACCAAACAGTAAGAGTGTGTCCACTCATAAAAATGTCAAAAGTGGTCAAACGGCTATTTTTTGGATGAAACACAATTTACCAAACACCCAGAAGGAAAGCATATTCATTTCAATGGGACGAAGGAGTATTATTTATGATTGAACATACATACACTCATAATTGAAGCTTGGTTACCGGACGCAACAGCCTACCAGAAATCGGCTGTTGTCGCTGGAATGGTGTGTGGCTGGACTGCCACCTTTGTAGTGCAACTGCATCTGGAGTGCTCCGCCATTGACGGACGGCCCTGATTACACATGAGGAGTTAGGAAGAGAGATTAGTTATATTTATTAATTACATTAAATGTAGAAATATAATGTTTAGTCTTATTTAAGGAAAATATAAAACATATAATGCTATTTACGGAACATAGCTAATCCATACTCGTATATTTTACTCTTATTTAGCACAATTTTTTTTGGATTTACAGAAAGTCCTGTACATATTAGTCAGGCTCGCCATTTTTCGTGAACTCGCGTAAAATTCATCTCTGATTTGAAGAGATATTGAGTTCGTTGAGTATTACTGGAATTAGTTTAACGGGAATTTTCTCTAAGATGTGATTGGTTGCTTCAATAATCCCAGAGACGAAATGATCCTTGCGACGCATATCCATCGTACTGATCATCGATGTCGTAATTGGTTTCGGGTAAAGACGGTGGGAAACCATAGCCATTAAAGCTGTAAATCGGAGCGTCCAACTGCTGGAGAAACCCATCGTCCAAGGGTGCTTGTGTCATTTCAACTTCAACATGTTCGGGCCCACCGGGGCCCGGCTGAGGAGGTGAGTCAGCATGCATGGAGTGAGTTGGCGAAAGCGAAGTCGAATGATCCGAAACATTCTCACGGTTGGGACCCGACCCGGTATCCTGATGGGTCTCCGCGTTGGCGTAATGGGTCGCCGCAACCTTAATTTCGTCGACCGACATTGCGCTGCCGCCGGCGATGTCGGGAGGGTTGTCGGGGAAGTTGAAGTTCGCGTTCCTCCCGCGGAGACAGAAAAGGGCGGCGTCGAACGCCCGCGCCGCCTTCACCGGCGAGTCGAAGGAGCCGAGCCAAATCCGGCGCCGGCTATTGGGGAGCCGAATCTCCGAAACCCATTTCCCCCACTCCCTTTTCCTAACTCCCCTGAAATTAGCAGAAGACGAAGCGTCGTCGTTTGGAGTGTTCTCCATTTCGGAACTGTCGCTGGAACTGACCTCCAGAATATCTGGAAGATGGAATGTTTTGTTTGAATTTTGGAAGGTTTGGAACGGAGGGCGAATGGGGAATGGCGGCTGAATTTATATGTAACGCGATGATAGTGAATTGTGAAGAGTGGCGCGGTTCGTAAAGTCAATTAGGCCGTGTTTGGATGACGCGGTGGAACAAGGACGTGCAACGTGGACATGTCTGGCCCACACGCCACGCGCCTGTCAGATTTCTCCCCAACCGTAATAACTAATAACAAATGACCCAACGGCCGTACCAGCATCCGAGGCCCAAGGGTGTACTATTGCCTAGGTGAAATAGTGGTCAACTTCTGAATTTAAAAATATTTGTCAAAATTTTTAATTTTACTTCCTTCTATTCTCGGAATTATCTACATATATTTTTTTGGTTCGTCCCAAATCTATTTCATCTTTTCTTTTTTTTTTTGCAAAAATATTGTGGTTCATAGCATTTCAGACACATTCTTACACATTTCTTTCTTTTTTGCACAACTCTCGAACACACAATATTCCCTATCTTAATCTGTTTGTCATTTGTATTTTAGAAAATTTATTTGGGACGGATGGAGTCCTCTGTATTACATTAACAAAGTAAAATACACTCAAATTAAACATGTGCATATTGTCAAATATTACCTCTGTTCCAATGGACTTTACACAATTTAAATTACGTGAGAATTAAGAAATGTAAAAATTATGTTACTGATGTTTGTACAAGGAGAGATAAATAAGAAAAACCAAAAATTAATTACTTTGATGGAATAATGACAAGGTATTCCTTTTTTTCTTGATAAAAGTATACATTTACAAATTTTATATACACATTAATAATTAAAGTCATTATCTAAATCTTGTTATTATTGACCATGAAAATTGATCAATATGGTGAACCTCTTTTAAGGGAGAAAGTACTACTCCCTCCGTCCCGAAAACAAGTTCTCACTTTCCTTATTTGGATGTCCCGAAATAAACTTCTCACTTCCTTATTTAGCATATTATCTACATCAATACAGTGCAAAACAGTGCCGAACATTGTCGAAATAGTGTCAAAATAGTAAAATTTAACCCTCAGTAATTTCATTTCCTAAAAATGTGTGAAAGTCAACTCAGGAACTTGTTTCCGGGACGGAGGGAGTATATTAATTTTTTGTTTACGCTATAAACTCGATCTTGATATTTACTCCTTCGGTAACATAAAAAGTTCCAATTTCAAAAGTAGTTAGATTAAGAATTGTGAAAGAGAATATAAATAATTGAGAGTGATTGGAAAATAATAGAATATTGTGATAGAATTGACGAGCACTTTGTCACGGTGCGTCAAAATAATATTCAATACTAACACTTATACGTAGTATAGGTGAAGTAGAGTTCGTATCCACAGGGAAAGGAATAACTCTCTTTTTATGTAACTAGTAAATAAAGGGGGTTTTTGATTGAGTGATTTAATTAATTTAAACACGAAGATGAACGACTTATATGAGATTTATTTCAAGAATAAAAAGGACTTGGCATTGCTACTTTCTACTTGTTGATATATTTTAGTCGATCATTGTTATATCTATAACTTATACCCTCTCAAATACTCAATCGAGGAGTATATCCAATTCATCGAGGGTAGTTATTAACAATGACCGTTCATTAATAACCCTTACTATTAGTCAAGTATAGAACATCGTCATATACCGACTTGATAGTAGCATTTAATCTCTTAACTCCTTGATGAAATCAATTGAGATTGATAACCTTGACACAACGGTTTCGGTTCAACCAACAAAATTAATCCCTCTTAAGTTTATTAACCACAACCGTGCATTAATAAACCAAAGTTACTTACTTGTGAAACCATCAACGATTAACCATCGGTTCGTTGATCGTTTCTAGTAATAATTAATATATGAAACAAAACTAGTTGATCCTTTAAGTAATATTCAAATATTAATATGAAATATGAATAGGGATTAATTGATACGCAAGAAAGAATATTAAAGAAGATGAATCCTACTATAGTTAATATCAAGATGTTAACTAATTGTCATCTTAGTAACACTCTTCAATATTAACATAGAGGAAGAAATAACTATTACTATAACTAATGTTAATATGTTAACTAATTGTCATCTTAGTAACACTCCCCAACATTGATATAGAAATAGTATTTAAAGGAAGAATTAATATTCAAGGAAAGAAGTTAAGAAAATAACTCACAACTTTAATAATCAACAAGCTTCAAGAGCAACACCAAGAAATGGAAGTTTAGCTCCTCATTTGGAGACTAAACATGCTAGAAAAATATAAAGAAATGTTATTCTAAACTGAGCTTAGAAGTGTAAAGGAATTGGTGTCTAATTGTGAAGGGAAGAGGGTGTATTTATAGGTTTTTTTGGGAGTGCAGTTCGGGTACCCGATCGAGTACACATAGGGTACCCGATCGAGTATGTGTAAAAAGTGTAAATTTGAGCCATACTCGATCGATTTCATAGTGGAAATAAAAGGCATACCCGATCGGGTATGACAACTGATCGTGGCCAAATCTTCCCCTGCACACCACTTTGTCTCCTGATTGATCTGATTGAAAGTCCAGTTAGTACCTGATCGAGTACATGGTATACTCCACTGGGTACAGGTCAAAAATCAGGATTTTGCCTCCTTTTTGTCTTGTACTCTTGCACCTTCCTTCACCAATGATCATTTGATTGATCTTGGACCTGTTTAAGCTCAGAATAAACCTAATGTAAACATATTACAGCTATTTTACAAACATAACTATTACACCAAAAGTGTGTAATTTCCGAAATATTAAACAACTAAAAATAACTAAAAACGTAAACATACATACGGAAATTACAAGCGTATCAACTCCCCCACACATAGTTCTTTACTCGATCTCGAGTAAAGTAAAATGTTCCAAACAGTTTAAGAGTTTTCCATGAATTCAAGAAAGACAGAAACTAAGATCACCAAGGAATAAAAATGAGTTTTTAAAACATTCTCTCTTGGGTTTTGTGATCTTCTATGCTTCATCTTCTTGCCTCTTGTTCTTCTTCTCTTCTTCTTTTCTTCTTCTTTTCTTCTTCTCCTCTTTCTCCTAAGAGATCAAATGAGGTCCTGCATACAACAAATATTTCTGTCATATCTCTCATTTTGCCTAGGAGCCTTTTCAGGTTTTCATCCTAGCATCTCTTTTTGTTTTTCCATCCTCCCTAACTCACTCATTTTTTTTACAAAGAGTAAAAGAAAATCCATGCATAGTAAATGGTAGAAAATAAAATTATATACCATGAAAAGTCTCCCCCCTTCTCAGTCCAAGCACTGACCCTAGTGCCCACCTTCGCCGCCATAGTAGCCACCTCCAAAACCGCCTCCAAAGCTCCCGTCGCCCATGTGAGTATCTCCGCCATTCCCGCCATCATAACCTCCACCCCCGGAGCTAGATCCTCCCCGAATAACCCATCGTTTAACATCGGCTGTTTGAGTATTTAACATCAATGGGAAAAGGTGCAAATAGGCCCATGTACTAACCAAAAAAGGTCAAATAAGCCCTTATTTAGGAGGCTTTGTCCGGACGTCGCCAGTTAGGGTGGTTCCCAGTAGATTTTTTTGATGAAATTTTTTGAGCAACTTATTCATTAAGTCTAGTTTACTCATACCAAATTTCAGCTAAAACTTCAATCGGGAAGGCATTCAAATGAATTCTTGAAAATAACTACGCAGTTAGAAGCACAGTTATCTTCAAGAATTCATTTGAATGCCTTCCCGATTCAAGTTTTAGCTGAAATTTGGTATGAGTAAACTAGACTTGATGAATAAGATGCTCACAAAAAATCATCAAAAAATTTCACCGGGAACCACCCCGAATGACGACGGCCGGACAAAGTCTCCTAAATAAGGGCTTATTTGACCTTTTTTGGTTAGTACATGGGCCTATTTGCACCTTTTCCCAACATCAATCAGCTAAAGCAATCGGCCAACAGCCAACAACCAACAATTAACAGCCATTTGCCAAACACCCCCTTTACGTATTTCATAAACTAATCACAATTCTTTCTATCCACAAGCTTTAATTTCCATCGATTTAGATTTATTCATTTAGTCAATTTTAATTGTTTTATATTTAAGCAACTGCAATATAATCACTCATTAAACTTTTCTATTATCAGATAAAAACAATTAAAATAACCCCAAGTCCCCAAACTATGAATCCGAGTGAGGTAAACACTCTAAACTTTCATATGTAATTTAAATATTCCAATTTTTTTATAAAATATATTTTAACATCATGGTCATTGATTATTTATTCTAAAAATATAAATTTATGATGTTAATTGCGTAATTTAAAATAACAAATTAAAAATGTTGCAACTATATAGAGTGGGGGGTGTACTATTTATTTTACAATGGAAGTACTTTAGAATGTTGATTGTATCTTCATGAATGTTAAAATATTTTAAATTCTGAAATTAACAAAAAAAAGTAACATTTTTGAAAGAAATACTATATGACTCTGGTGCTAACAAAAATTTTTATATAAAGTTTGGAATATTTAAATTACATATGCAAGTTTGAGTTACTTATCTCGCATCCCTTCAAAATTTGGGGTATTTATATTTTTTCCCTTATTATTAAGTCCTTACCTTTATTTCTACATAACCCATTTTTTCGCTAAGCTCGTATTTGCGAAGAATTTAAAAAGTCAAACATTCTCTTAAAAAGTAATCCGTAAAATATTTCAATGTAAAATAGATAAATTTGATGTTTAATTGTTTTTGTTGCTTCAGACCAAAATATAATTGCCTCGATTTTCCTCTAAGGATGAATACCAAGCAAAAAATAATAAAGTAAAATGTGTGTGGTTGAAATTTTTGTAGAGGAGAGAGAAATAAAAGTAACTACTACAAATCAATTGATTAATAAAGTAAGTGGAAAATTTGTTAATACCATAAAAAAATAAAGATTACAAAATTACAAGAGATAAATGGAGTAAAATTCCAAGTATAGGAGTGAATGTTTAAAATTACATAAATAAGACCTTTTATTTGTGATTGAACAAAAATACATTCATCATTGGAGTTTGGTTGGCTACAACCTACTAGCGCCATTGGACCGTATAGTAGTCGGGCTGTTGTCGCCGGAATAGTGTGAGACTGCCGCTGCCTTTGGACTCACCGCCATTGTCGGATTGCCCCGATTACACAAGCAATCACCACACCCGACTGGCCAAAGCTAGCAAGGAAAAAAACACCCTACAACTGAGGGGAACAAAAACGCCGGATATACCGGGAAGGAACCAGACTGAGATTATCATCTGTTTCAATAGCGTTGAACCATGTGAGTCTTCAATTGCTCACGAATTGGGGCAACATGCGAACTAGTTCCGTTGACTGTTGCTATGCCTCAAGCGATGCCAGCGAAATCCACGGTCCTGCTGCATGCGTCGATGATGCCGGTGACCTTGATTAGGATCCAGCGGGCCTTTGGTTCTTTCGCTAGGTTCATCGTGGCGGCTAGATAGAAACTTCCATTACTCATCTCTTCAACAAGTCAAAAACCCCAAAAGAAATTATATTGATTAATTAATTGTATTATGGGATTTATTTGAAAGAAAATAAAACGTATAATAATTCCATTTATGGAATACTCCACATTTTGTCCTATATTTAGAACAATGTTTCTTGGATTTACAAAAAAACCGGAGAGGCGACAAATCAAAATGCCATCAACTCTAGTGGCAAAAAATTCCGATTCGCAATGGTTTTACGGTTTTACCCATTTTCTCTAAGATGCGATTGGTTGCTTGAGAATTAATCCCAGAGAGATGATCCTTGTGACGCAAATCCATCATATTGGTCTTCGATGTAGTAATTGGTTTCGGGTAAAGTCACCGGGACATAATAGTCATTATAACCGAAATCATCCAATCTAGGAAAATACCCGTAATCCGTAAAGTCGTTATTAATCGGAGCGTCCCACGAGAACGAAGAGAACTGCTGGAGAAATCCGTCGTCAAAGGTCATTTGTGACATTTCAGCTTCCACATATTGGGAGGGCCCACCGGGACCCAACTGAAGAGGTGAGTCAGCATGCACGGACTGAGTAGGCGAAAGCGAAGTCGAATGATCCGAAACATTCCCACGGCTAGGACCCGACCCGGTATCCTGATGGGTCTCCCCGTTGGCGTAATGGGTCGCCGCAACCTTAATTTCGTCGTCCGACATTGATCTGCCGCCGGGGATGTCGGGAGGGTTGTCGGGGAAGTTGAAGTTCGCATTCCTGCCTCGCAGGCAGAAAAGGGCGGCGTCGAACGCCCGCGCCGCCTTCACCGGCGAGTCGAAGGAGCCGAGCCAAATCCGGCGCCGGCTATTGGGAAGCCGAATCTCCGACACCCATTTCCCCCACTCCCTCTTCCTCACTCCCCTGAACTTAGCAGAAGACGAAGCGTCGTCGTTTGGAGCGTTATCCATTTCGGAACTGTCGCAGGAACTGGCCTCCAGAATGTTCGGAAGATGGAATGTTTTGTTTGAATTTTGGAAGGTTTGGAATGGAGGGAGAATGGGGAATGGCGGCTGAATTTATATGTAAGGGGAGGATAGTGAACTGTGGAGAGTCAATCAGGCCGTGTTTGATGACGCGGTGCAACAAGGACGTGCGACGTGGACATGTTCGGTCCACACGCCACGCGCCTGCAATTACATATCTCCCTAACCGTTAAAACAAATGAACAACGGTCGTACTAGCATCCGAGGGGGACCGAGGGTGCAATATCGTACAGGTGGAATAATGTTCATCAACTTCTCAATTTCACAATAATTTTCAAAAATTTAAAAGGTACTGACGTCCCACAAAGATCGGTCAATTTTCTTAGTTAATGAGGTTAAAGTTTAGACAACAATTTTAGGTACTATATTTTTGTGTAATTTATAAATTTTATACTTTGATATTTTAATAAAGAATAAACTCATATAATTTTCATACTTAAAATAATTTTGTATTAAAAGATATCATTGTTCAAACTTAATCACCATTGAATAAGAAAAGTCAATATAGCCAATCTTTTTTGGGACGGAAGGAGTATTACATAAAAAATGATATGATGTTTGTACTCACTCTATACCTACTCTTAAAAGCTACTGAATATTACATCAAAAATATTATATCAGAACGGATGTAGTTTTAGTTTTAAACTTTTGATGCCATAATAAACTAATGATATTTATTAAAAGGGAAAAATAATTAAAGTAATCCAAACTTTGAAGTGGTGTGAGATGAACAAATCAAACTTGAATATGTAATATAAATATCTAAACTTTATACAAAAAGTTATTTTATACTCCGTATAAAATTTGTGTATTCAAATTACATATGCAGATTCAGGGTGTTTATCTCAGACCACTTTAAAGTTTGAAGTATTTTTATTACTCCATCCGTCCACTAAGATTGTCCCGGACACTATTCACTTGGTCAATACGAATCACTCTTAATCTCCTACTTTATATATCAAATTTTTATCAAATTTGATTCAGGTTTTTGCGACTTTGTAAAACTTTTAATGTAGTTTCTGAATATGTATTTTTTTCTTTTTAAAAATAATTTTAGAGCGGACAAGAATCTGTTTGCTTAATTATTTTATGATCGGTCAAGCATCGTAAGTCGAATTGTCCCAATCTTAATGACGTGAGACGGAAGTAGTAATTTTTTTTCTTATTAAAAACGTATGTGAAAAGTCTTTTGATGACTGCTCGCTATGACGAGAACAGACTCGTTTCAAAACAGACGGCAGCAAATGATTTACATAGGGAGTAGTGTATTATTTCAGTTCTAAAAAAGTGACCCATGGCCCACTGAACTCAGCCGCAGTCACATCACTTCAATTCCATACTACTACCTCCGTCCCTTATAACTTTGCCAACTTTCCTTTTTTGGATGTCCCATTAACTTTGCCACTTTCCCATTTAAGTAAAGAATTTGTGGTTCCAGTTAATTCTCTCTCCTCTGCACAAACCTCAACCACACAGTTTTTACTTTATTAATCCCCGTGCCGGTCAAACTTGGCAAAGTTATTAGGGACGGAGGGAGTATGTTCACTACAGGCTACCTTAACTCTAGAGAGTGACAATTATATATTCAAATCGCAGGCAGGCACCGCGTGGCCTCAAGTTTGACCATGGTTGAATACTTTAATTCAACACTTCTAATACGGAGTACTTTCATTCTTCAATGTTTTTTCTTAATATTACTCCCTTGGGCCGCTAATAGTATTCAAGACAATATTTAAGGAAAAAAATAATATCAACAATGAATAGTGTAGAAAAAGTAGGAGAAAAAGTAGGAAAGAAAAGGTAAAAAGTAAAAACGGTAAGGATAACTTAACATTTTAAAAAAAAACTTATCAAAAAGAAAAAGAGTATAATTTTTTTTTTAATACATCTCAAATAAAAAGTATAACAAATGTTTAAATACGAAGAGTACTGAGTATTATATAGAAGTATCAGTTTTTCTGCCAATTTTTTTTTTTCCGTGAATAATTAAAAGTCAAATATTTGTCAAAAGTAACAAATTTGTTACTTCTGACAAAATAACATTGCCTCTGTTCCTTCAAAAAAACAATATTGCCTTTGTTTCCCTTCATATCACTTTCGATGAACACACGTCGCTTCAGATTCCGCATGTATCGGTTATACGATACAAAAGAATTACTGAAAACGATAACACTTGTTGAGGTATATATCCCGGTCTACTACTGTTCTGGATCTCAATTCATCGCCTTAGTACGAAGCCCGAATGACGAGGGCCATATAGGCGTATTAGGCCTGTTTCGGCCTATCAAGCCCATTTTGGCCCACTTGGCTCATTAGGGTAGGCTTATCCCCTACACCCATATCCCTATAAATAGGAGGCCTTCCATAAATGTAAAGGGTTGGTCTCTTCTTCCCCAATTCCTTCTCCTTCTCTCTAGAATAGATTAACTAACAACCTCCATTAATGAGAGCTTCAATACCTTGTATTATGTAATGGTGAGGAGAGCTAAATGAGAATGAAATGGCTTGTACATTAGTCTAATAAATCCCGTGATTTTCTCCCTTTCGGGTTTCCACGTAAAGATCGAGTGTTCATACCAAATTATATCTATATTTGTTATATCGTGTTGGATTAAACTCAACAACAATCACTTTATTCGAGGCGGGCCCGGTTTCCGATATATTATTATCTCCGTACTCCTACGAGTTAGATAATACAGATCGAATGGTGCGTTTTGTTGAGAAAACGAAATCGTGGGATAATTAGTAAAGTTTGAATAATGTAAGAATACGTCAAAATCAGTCACATATTAACAAATCTGGCAATGATATGAGACAAATTTAGTGAGAGAATGAGAAGGATAAAATGAGACAATGATAAGGAGACGAATGGAATAGTTCTTATTGAAAACAATAGATTACCACCAACACTTCTCTCTTGAGATCCTATTGGGCTATTGGCTGGTTGCATTTAGGGAGAACTACTCAAACGGACCAAAACATGCTACTTCCTCTTTCCCTTTTACTTTATCAAGTTTAATTGATGCGGATCGGAGAATAAAAAATTAAAGGCTGTGTAATTAAGATTTTGCAGAGGAGGGAGAAATAAAATGAACTACAATTCAATTGATTAAAAGAGAAACCAACAAAATTTTTGGGACAAAAAAAAATGAAAGACGACAAAATTACAAGAGATTGAGGGAGTAAAATTCCAAATATAGGAGTGAATGTTTAAAATTACACATGTAAAGACTTATTATTTGTGATTTCAAAATAATACTCTCATAATTGGAGCTTGGTTACCAAACTGCCATGGCTGACCGCCACCACTGGACCGTCATCGAAATGATGCGGGATTGCAGCTACCATAGTGCCGCTGTCACTGGAGTACGTACGTGCCACCGCCATTGCTGGACTGCGATGATTACATTACTCGAGGAGTTAAGGGGGCAATTAATTATACTTATTAATTATATTAAAGGTAAAAATATAATGTTGAGTCTTATTTAAGAAAACTAAAACATGTAATCCTATTTAGAGAATACTCCTATATTTTAGTCCTATTTAGTGCATTTTTTTTCGAATTAGAGAATTAGTGAAAAGGCTGGTGAGGTGACAAATCAAGAGATTTAAAGTTCGTTTTTAGTATTACTGGAGTTAGTTTAATCGGCCGAATATGTTGAAATTGATGAAGTGCCACTGAAGCGGTTAAAATAATTAAATTTGCTGAATCATAAAAATTATATTAATATAAAAATAGCTAAGTATTTATCTCCAACAATTTCAGTCAATTCAGTCTTAAAACAACTCAAATATTATTTATTTTGATTATTATACACTTCATCACCTATATCAAAAGTAATGTGTTTTGTAAAAATTAAATAATACTCCGTACGTAGTAGTCTAATTAGAGTATAAGACTATTCAATAAAACTCTGGGTTACTAAACATACTCGAAATCTAACTTTGGATCTAGCTTTATTGCTGAAATCTAACTTGTGGGTTTCTTTTTTTGGTAATAATGATTAGAGAAACAAGCTGAAGACATGTTTTTTTTAATGAGAATATTTGTTATGTTTGGAAGTTGAAACATACCAGATAATGTAAGAATGGTGAATCATCCTGACTAGAGCAGGTGAGTATCGAAGTTTGGAGGATCGAACCACGTTGAGAGCTCATTTGGTGACACAAAAATCGGTTGATTCTGCTGAAATTTATTAAATTCTGGCTGAAGTAACTGCATTGACTGGTTCAGTCAATTTAAGAAAAAAGTATTTTAGGGTGAAGTCACAATGAGTTATGTAATAATAAGAAAAAATTTGAGATGACCATTCTCATGTGCTGAATTGTGTAATAATAAGAAAAAGTAAGGTTGAAGTTATTTTTATGGCTATATTGGCTGAATTTACTCTAGATTACCATTTTAGATATTTTTACATATATTTTTTTCTTTATTTTATTAATAAAATATATTTATAAGATACGCGTTTGGTGAAAAAGTTGGTTGATAAGTGTGATAAGCCGAAAAACAGTGTTACCAAACAGCTTCTCAATAAGTTGGGACACCATATAGCACAACATTTCAAACACATCAATTTTCATAAAGGTATGTGTGAACAATAAGATTTCGATTCTGAGTTTTTTTGGCACAAAATTGAAATTGTTTGAATCGACTAATTTTACTAAACCAATAAATTTCAGATTGAATAATGATAAAAGTATATTTAAAATAAATTATATTAATAAAATAAGAAATAAATTATATAAAAAATAAAATCGTCTTTTATAGTATTAAAAAAATTGACTGACAAGTGGATAGGTTACAACAGGGACCATTAAAATCGTGAATTGAGTGCACGGAATTGTAAATGAGTAGTATTAGTAGGGGTGGGATCGGTCCGGTCTGGGTCGGGTTTTTGCTAAACCCGAAAATTACCCGGAAAGTCTCGGGTTATGAAAATTAGGGACCGGAACAAAGCTCATTATTTAAAGCCCGGCCGTGAAATATGTCATTGTTTTATATTTTAACACTTATTTTC